AAAGAAATCAACATCAACTGCTAGTGGATCATCTTCTCCTTCCACAATAAATAAACCAAAAAAATCATCATCATCATCAACAACAGCAGCAGCATCACTACCAACAACAACGACAAGCAGAAATGCAGTACTTCCTCAAACTGCTCGTCGGATTCTTCAAAATTTCCTTTTGGTATGGCTCGATGCCAATTTGCAAGAGTCAGATAAGGATTTTAAAAATTCGTTGCATCATCTTCGAAAAATTGTGGCATCTATCACAACGTTTACGGATGCCCAACAATGTGTTAATTACCTAAGTGAAATCAAAAGAGAAAAGGTATTTATGATTGTATCAGGTTCCTTGGGTCGTGAAATAGTACCAGAAATCGAAACATTGCCACAACTGGAAGCAATTTATGTGTTTTGTGGCAACCAATCGGTTCATGAACAATGGGCTAAAAAAATAAGCAAGGTTAAGGGTGTATACACAAAAATAGAACCAATTTGTCAAGCACTTGAAATCGATCGACAACGATGTGATCAAGCTATGATCCCGATCAGCTTTAATGGTCGTGATGCATTATTTATGTATACACAACTTTTAAAAGAAGCCCTTTTGGAAATTGAAGATGACGATGTCAAATCGATTAAAGATCTCGTAGAATACTGTCGTCTGCAAAATGATGTTGATGAAGATGAAATAAAAAAAGTGCAGCGAGAATACCGAAACCAGACACCAATTTGGTGGTATACGGCTCCTTATTTCATGTACTCAATGCTCAATCGTGGGCTCCGAGAAATGGATGTCGATATTATCCTGAAGATGGGCTTTTTCATCCGACATCTACATCAGCATATTACCGAACTACATCACGAACAAAAAGGCAGCATGCCAACAAATTTTCAAGTCTTTCGTGGACAAGGTTTGTCCATGGAAGATTTTGAAAAAATGAAAAAAACCAAAGGAGGGCTTATGTCCTTTAATAATTTCCTGTCAACAAGTCGCAGTCGTGAGATATCTTTCAACAATTTTGCACGACCAGCTACAAGCAATCCTAATTCAGTCGGCATCCTCTTTATTATGAACATTGATACGGCTATTTGTACAAAATCATCGACACCATTTGCTGAAGTAAGCAAAGTTGGCTACTACAAAGACAAAGAGGAAGAAATACTCTTTTCAACACATGCGATTTTTCGTATCGATCGCATTGAACGAATTCACGATAATCACTGTGATCGGCTATACGAAGTTAATCTCACTATTGTGGGTAATGACAATCATGAA